ACCCACCCCCCCCCCCCCCCGGGGGTTTTTCCCCAAAAAAAAAAAACCCCCCCCCCCCCCCCCCAAACACCATTTTCTTGAACTACAGTATAAAGGGTTTGTTCGTGTGTGTGTGTGTGGGGGGGGGCATCCCATCTTTCAAGCAAAAAACACCTCAAGCCAAAGCGTGCGTGCGTGCGTGCCTGATAGTCCACCCACGAGAGCCCCTGCATCGCCCTCTCCTCGTCCTCGCCGTCTCGCGCCAAGGGGGCCAAGAGGGCCTCGGTCGCGTTCAGCGCCGCGGACGTGACCGACGGGTTGCCATCGTCGAGGCACAGCCTTGCGGTCCGATCCCATCACAACAAAAAAATGCCCCCCAAGATCGATCGTTCCGAAGAACCACGACAAAAAATAAAACAAGCCGCGCGGGGGAAGAATAAGAAAAGAAGCGACGAGGGGGTTAGGACAAGGACGACACATGTGTCATCCATCTCGCTCACTGACCTACAGCCCATCCGGTGCCCTCGCATTGATTGCTTAGCGGTCGCGATCCCGGGTACCGCTACACGTCTCCCGACACACGCCGGTACCCCCTCCCACGCTTCCGCATTGCTGTCTCCAGGCACAGTAGTACCCCCCCCCCCCGTCCCTTTCGCGGTGCGTACCCTCGATTTATGAGCCGACAGGGGTCCACAATCAGCATACAACAACACCAAACGCTTCATTTTTTCGAGAGCAAGCAACTACATCGCGAACCCGAAGCCCTCAATCATAAAAAAATAAAAATATATAATATATCACAATCGTACACACCGTGCAACATGGCAACCATGAACGATTCACAGCTGTTTCTAAACACAGCAGAACAACCCCCTCAATTCTACAAGTACACACCTTATCGCGACCGGCAGCATCTCCGGGAGGCGGCGATGCGGCGGGGTCTGCCCCCGGGCTATGCACGCCGCGCGAAACCTGAGAACTCCAGCCAGGGCGCGCAGCGCCAGCTGCCTCTGCCCCGACACAGTGCTCCTGGATGCACCAATGCCCCCCCCACCCCCGAGGGCCCCGAAAAAAAAAAAAAAGACGAGCAAAACCGGAACGGAACGGAAGATAAAACCGCAGCGTAAGCGCAGCGATGTGGGATTAATTGTATTGCGGTTGAAGGTAGCATCATTGTGTACAATAGGAATATCGAGGGAACCCACCGTCTCCTGCGACAAGCGCTGAGTTCCACGTGTCCGGATTTTGAGGGGCGGAGTGACCAGCCCACGCTTCAGCAATAAAATAAAGAAGCATCTTGCATCGAAATGCTGATCCATTTGGCTATCCTCCGGCCCTGCGCGCTACATCCCCGTCGTCCGCCCACCGAAAAAAAACTGACGAATTGGGAAAAGACGCAATAGCACGCCGATCTGAAAACACACACACACCAACACACACACGCACACAAGGCACCCCCCCCGGTTCATCGCCACGGACCTCGCCAGTCGCACTAGCTCAGATGGGGTGTACCCGGCTTTGTCAGGATCGTCCCCGTGATGATGCAATGCCTCGAGCCCCTCCCCCCCATCACTCGCGGACCCCCCACCCCCGTCTCCCGCAAGCACCACCACCGCACCGTCCAGATCAACACGAGCCTCGTCGCCTCCCCCACGCCCACCGGTGCCACCGGGCCCACCGGCAGCCGCTGTAGCTACCACCGCCGCCGCCGCCGCCGTCGTTACCGCCGCGTCACCGCTAACGGTGAGAGTCCAGCGTGATTTTGCCCTCTCTTCCGGCGGGAGGGTGAGAAGGGCGGCCTCGAGGGCCTCCTCGGAGTCGATCCCGCCGGCCGCGGTCGCCGCCCGCTGCGCCCCGGTGGGCGCCCCGCTCGTCGTCTTTCTTGACGGAGAATCACCAGCAGCAGCGGCGGCGGCGGCGGCGGCGGCAGCCGCCTCGCCAGTCGCGGAAGCGGTAGCTGTTGACCTAGATGGCCCGCCGCCGTTCGAGCTGTCGCCTTCGTCTCCCGCCGGCGCCGCCGACTCGCCGTGGCCCGTCGTCGCCGGCACCGGACTCCTCCTCCTCCCTGCGCAATGGTTCTCTTCATCGCCGGCCTTTGTTTCTCCCGCCGTCGCCGCCGCTGCCGCTGCCGCTGCCGCTGCCGCTGCCGCTGCCGCTGCCGCTGCCACTGCCGCAGCCGACGGCGCCGGAGTTCCACTGACGGTCTTTCCGCCCCCTCCCCGTCCCCGCCGCAGGAGCATCTCGAGCGCCCCGGGCGGCAACGCCGCGCGAATCTCCTGCTGCGCGTCGGCGATCTCGTCCGGGGACATTGCCGAGATCCGCGACAGGTTCTCTTCGTGGATGTCGCCGGGGATATTGCCGACGCCGCCGCCGCCGCCTCTGCCGGCCCCGCCACGGCCGCCTCTTTCGGTTGCTGCGTTCCCCTTTGCAGCGGCAGCGGCAGCAGCGGCGGTCGCGGGGGGGGCACCGGTAGAAGCGGCTGCAGCACCCACCCCGAGCTTAACGAGGCCCATCTCTGACCGGTGGCGCACCGCCGGGAACCCTCCGATGATACCGCGCTCCGCCACCGCCGTGACGTGCTTCGCTCCCTTCGCGAGTCCGAAACGCTGCTTGTCTCCTCGTCTCCCGATCGCCCCGCCAGCGCCAGCGCCGCCGGCGAAGCCGCCAATTCTCATTGGCGCCGGCGGCTTTACCTCCCTCTCGCGAACGCTCTTCGACACCACCCCGGGGGCGTTCAGGATCATACCCCCCGTTGGCGACGAGGCCGACGTCAGCGGACCCTTCTCGCGCTCTTCCGGGGGCACGCCTAGACTACGGGGGGGTTCGCGGTTGTTGTTGTCGCGGGTTGGTTGGGTCCCCGGGGAAATCGCCGTCGCTGCTGCTACCGCCGTCGCCGCCGCCGCGCCACCGCCGGTCGAGCGCGGCGCGTTCGCGGTATCAGCGCCGCCCCTGCCGCTGCGGGGGTCGTCGTCCTCCTTCCTCACCCCCAGAGAGGATCCGGCTTTTATGGTCGGTGGCTGCTCGTGCGCACGACGTCATGCGGAGAGAATCGTCGCGTCAGCAGGCACCTTGTCCATGTCGTTGACATCACATGGGGTGGTTTCCCGCACTTCTTATTCGGGGATGAAGGGGGGGGTCCTACTGCCACTACTCGTGCATACCTGGTGTCGGCACTAGCATTATTAGCGAAATCTGGCAACACAAGAGATTCGCACACTGCTTGGAACATGGCAGGAAAAAATAATGCCGGATGCGACCAAGTGCCACCACGCGTGGAAGGCGATTGGTGTGGTAGACGTAGGCAAAGCTGGGGGCAGATCAGCCACAGCCGGCCGAGTCATTTCCCCATTGACCCACGGATGTAGCGAGAGGGGAGGCAACGGAGGCAACAGCACAGATATGTGAGCGGCTGAGTCACAGATTATAGAGTGTACACCTGCTGCTTGCCTCAGCGGTTCAGCCAACTTCGACTGCGCTTCCCCCCCCCGTGCGTCCATCTCTCCTTTTTTTTGCTCCGCTGTCCCACCTCACACCTCACGCCTCCGAAGAAAGCTGACAGTCCCGTGAAAAAAGCCGGCCTGGATGGCTGGGCTTGGGACACCAATTGCCGCAGCATAACGCCGCCTCAGGCGCAAGTCAAGTTAGCAACCAATGGTCGCTGTCGGTGGTAGGGAGATATAACGGCAAAGGAAGTAATCCTACAAACCGTGAGACAAAGCGGTAGCAGAAACACTATCAACGACGCCGTCGCCTCATGACCGCAAAGCTGTGAAGAGGAGATACATTCGGCCGTACGCGATTTCAAAAAAATGACAAATCACCTTTGCGCGAGAAACCTTTGCCGACGGCCTCTCTGCGCTCCTCAAAAACGCATCCTGGAGAGCCTCCAGATCGACATCGTCTCCACGACCGGGCCTTGCCACGCCACGAACGCCGTCGCCTGGGCGCATGTTTATTCTCACTGCGCTAGTGCACAGCAGTACAGCAGTGCTGCTGATGTTGCTGCCAACCAGCAGCGCGGCGGGACTGTTGTCCGCGCCGCCGAATGCATTAGGGGGGGTGATAAGCGCACCCAGCGCGCCCCCATCCTGTCGGATCTGGTTCACACACATACATAGCAGAGCTGCTTGTTGTGCACGCGTGGGGCAGCCATGTACTGTGGAGGAGGTGAGCTGATACACCTTTGGGCGAGTCGGCAAGGCGCGAGTCCTTTAAAAGCTTTCATTCTCTTGTAAAGTTTGAGATGACAAAATAGAAGTAAGGTCTGCAGCTTTTTTTTTGTGACAGAGGCCGACTCTTTCTCTCTCCATCGCCCTCTCTCCGTTTGCGACAGCACAACAGCGCCGCCAGGGTACCTACCTGCCTCTGCGCGGCACACCGACTCTGCACGCATAACACGCGGAGTCATCCACCCTTGCTTTATCAGTAGATCGCGAGACAGCCGAAATATGTGTGCCTGTCTCGTCCTCGAGGCCTGTATTTTTTTTTCTTGTCACACCCTGCACACTGCGTCTGGCCCGTACATTGGAGGAGAATAAGAGAGACAGAGCGGCAGGCAGACAAACACACAAGAGAGAGCACCAACAGCAGTAGGATAGTTGATGCGTCGATAGGGAGAAATTTGCCACTACCCAACATCACACGCGTTTGGCGATTCACAAGCTCCGCGTCGTACTCGCACCAGCAGTGCAGTACTGGACTCGACGACTTGGGCAAGAGCGCGGTTATGTTCCGCCTACACTCCGCCGACATTGTCATGTAGTCGATGGGCACCGGTAATCTCGAAACAAGCAACGGCAGCGAGCGCTCTCTTCTATAGTGTGATCCGTAGTCTAGAGCAGCCGCCTCCACGCCAACAACCAATCTAGAATGAATCTGTGGATGAGGAGTGTAGGCTTAAAAAACAAATCTCGGTCGCACCGATAGCAGGCGTTTTGTGTCTACTCGCAGACCGTAGCGGCCAACGGCCCCCACCTCCTCCACCCCCCACAAAAGTTAAAGCATTTAGAGCCCCCGCGCGTGAGGTCTTCGTCCTGCTGTGTGACCCCGGTCGGGTGCGTCAGAAACCATACCGAGAGGTGAAAAAATCGACCTCCAGATTAATTGGGGGGATACAGTAGCAGCACACGACGCAATACACATGATCGTTTGTTTCCCGCGATGTGACCAACGTCTGTTCATTGGCCAGCCGGCCGTAGGCGGTCAATGTTAATAGTTGAACAACGATATTAATGGAGTCGTTTTCATGATTAGGACCCTGTGCTCCGTGCCGAAAGGGGTGCGTGGCCAACGGTCAACATTCTTAAAGGAACGCACCAATTTAGCCCTCCCCATGACCTAACGACCACGGCAAGCACGACTATGAGTACACCCCCCCGCTCCCCCCGCACCCCGTTTCCAAGCAGACGATGTCGGAGCCGTCGTGGGGGATGTCGGATCATACTCGTGCAAGATGGGCTTCGCGGGCGAGGACTTTCCCAGGGCCTACTTCACGTCGGTAAGAAGGCGAACCGGGGGGCACCGCTGTGAGGTCTTCGGAGAGAGGAAATGCAAGGGATGGGGGGAGTGGGGCGCAGTTGGCGTGGCCCCGACGGTGACGCGGTGCATGTGTGTATGCCAACTTTCCCTTCGCACTCGTTCCTGTATCCCTATCGGGCATTCGTGTGACATCTGTCAGCTTCCCCTCTCTGAACGAGAGAATGCCTCGGACACCAACATCAACAAACACGGCACGCTCTAACGTGTACAATGTACTCATTACGGTTATGACCCCGACCTTTTCTCCCCCCCGCACCCCATCAAAACACCACCGACAACAGCTGATCGGCAGAACGGTAGACTTGGAGGCCACGCGGCGCTTAGAAGCAGAGATGGACGCCGCCGTTGACAGCGCCGGGAGCCCAGCAAGAGCGAGGGCGGGGGGCAACGGCAAGGGGAAAGCTGCACCCTCCCCCCCCGCCAATGGGCAGCCCCAGCGGGGAGGCAAGGGGGCCGCAGCTTCGCCGGCCGTGCCAGGGGGCTCAGGGGAATCAGAAGGGGGCGCCGCGAACGGAGAGGAGAAGGACGAGGGGGACGGCAGGACGGTTTATCGATGGCACGTGGATAGCTTGATGGGCGGCGGGGCGGACATGGACGTGGTGCCGCTTATGGAGGACGGGTTCGGTGAGAGATGGTTGTTTTTCTTGTTGGTTCTTTCTCGCAAGGAGTGATCTTTTGGTCGAGATTCCAGGATACTCTTGTGTGGCCGTGTGGAAACTGAGGGAAAGTTACTCAAGAGTGCTGTGAAGCATTGCCCAGACGGCATGGGTCTTTCTCTTTAGTGACCACACGGTGGGACCGATGGGTTGGTTGGCAGTTGCACCCCGACAAGCGAAAGACGCTTGCTTGTGGTGTGTTGTTTCTTCTTGCGCGGCAGCAGGGCTGGCAGCACCGATTTATTTTGCTTGACACACATATGAATTTTGATGCACGCGAATCAAGTTGTATCGACGACGTCGTCGATAGCCAGCACACGATCATTGATTCCGAAGCAACAGCAGTAGCGCGAACCAGCGACGGCTTTGATTCTTTGTTGGGCAAAGCTATGTTACACACGCCGCCGGCATGTGTCTCTTTTGTTTCCGCGCTATGTATGTACCATCCTTGTTCGGGTGTCAGTGACGGACTGGGACCTGATGGAGAAGGTGTGGGAGCACGCCGAGCGGACTCGACTCAAGACGAAGCTGTCGGACCACCCGGTTCTCATCTCAGAGAAGCCTTTCAACTCTTCCAAGGAGAGGATGAAGTACACGGTGAGGAAACCGCCTTCGCCCTGCTTGCAATAACTAGGCGCCGGCAAAGCCGTCCGTGCTCGTGCTTGTGGTCATCGGCGTCGTCATTGTAGTAGTAGCTGTTGTTGCTGCTGGTATTTTCGTTGCTTTTGACAGCTGCTGTTGTTGATATTTGTCCTTCGTACGCACAGACCCATGGTTTTATCGTATCGACAATGTCTAGGCGGTGATGAGCTGTTTTGACTGGCTGACTGGCTGAGAACGCCGTGTCTGATTGTTGTTTGTGAGTGTGGGGGTATTTCACGAGCTGCGCCGAAACGAAAATGGTTCGTTTGTGGTGTGGAAAACCAATATGTTCGTGTCGCATTTAACCCGGGAGAGCATGGGAAGGGGACCCGACGCTATCCTCTCTAGATTCCTCTTGCATGTGTGTGTGTGTTTTCTCTCGACCAGCATCATTTTGGCATTCGCTACATACTCCGCAAGGAGTTGGAGACGTGTGTACATGTGCGTCTCCCGGAGTTGCCTCTTGGGTAGGCGGTTTGGCCTTCATATCGCGCCTCCCCCCCCCGGCTGAATGTTGCACGAGAGATGGGCTGTGTAACCCGGCCATACCCTCCCTCTCCCCTGTCGCGAGAATATGTGCAACCCGGCTATGCACCCCCTTGCCGCTAAGATTATCACACCCGAGTGAATGTCGATGCCCCCCCTGACTGTATTCGATACACAACAATCTAGTCACCCCCCTCCTATCGGCTGTGCACACATCTCACCCCCCCCCGCCCAATCAGGAAATTATGTTCGAGAAGTTCGGCGTCCCCGCGGAGTTCATGTCGAAAGACGCGGTGCTTGCGTGTTTCTCTATAGGTCGGACGACGGCGTCGCTGGTAGACGTGGGGGGGGACAGCGCCGTAGTGACACCGGTGTACGACGGGTGAGAGAAAGTCTCCGGTCTCATCGTTTGCTGGCCTGGGGGGGGGGGGGGGGGCGCAGGCTATCGCAAACTTTGGTGGTCCTTTGGGACGGGGGGAATTGGGCCGGGAAAGGGAGGGGGTGATGTTTTTTAACACGGGGGGGGGGGCTGGGGGGCACTTTTTTGCCACACCCCCGGGTGTTTTTGGG